CAAAAAGGAAGCGAAAAAAAAAAGAAAGAAAAAAAACGAAAATAGTCTTATTTTTTTATTTCCCATTTTTCATGAAATTACCCTTTACTGGAATGCTAATTGTATCGTTTTGCCACTGGTGTGTCGTTTTGTTTGTTTTGTTTCTTTTCGCGGATATTTGTCGATAAGCAAATGAAAAGAGGCGAAACAAAGCAACATTAGGCTTTTTTTCGTTTCGTTTTATAGTATATTCAAATTTTTTTTCTTTTCTTTTATTGCTTAGGAGAAAAAAGAAAATTAGTTGCAAGTAAATTTGTTTGAATCATCTATCGTTTTTTCTTTTATAGAGACTGGTGTTCAATACCGATGAAAACTAAATATTTTTTATCAAATGAGCATGGCTAAATGGTGATAAGCAGAACAGGACTAGGAAAGGGGAAACTTTTGATAGTTAATTGAGTTTTTGATGACCGGTCGGGAAGTGATGGGTTGTACTTGATGCTGCTGTTGATGATAGTGGTTAGTATAGTTACTGATGGTTACCATATACTCACTGGGGAAACTACAGAAATTCTTTTTTATTATATTTAACTACTATTATTCATACAGATTGAATTTAGATTGTTTTTAACAGAAAAAGATCACCGGTTTGTGGACAGTAAGAGAAGCTGCTAACTAATTAAACAGATTATAGTCTAACAGAAGAATTTGGAAAAAAAAAGAAGAAAAGACTTGGAAGCATATTTGAATTTGAGAAGCATAAATAACTGGCCGAAAAGACGAGAAGAAAAAAAGATTGAAAAGAATCTTTTCTTGTTGATTAACAAGTTTTTTTTGCTTTGGACAATCAATGCGGCAAAAATTTTGGGTTTTTGAAAAACTTTATCTTCTTCCCCTTTTTTCCCCCCTACTATCCCCAAATCTCCCATTTCTCTCCACCCCTTTTTTTCGTGTATAATTGGTCTGAATATTTTCTGTTCTTTTCAGACTCGTTCTGTGTGTTCCAGTTTCTTGTCCTTTATTTTTTATTGTGCTTATTTTTTTTTTCTTTCCATCCAAGACGTGATGACCGTAATCGACAGACAAAGGGGTTGGAAAAAAACTTTCTTCTCAATACTGAAAATAGCAACAACGATAATAATAGTAGAAGAAAAAAAGAATAATAAGAACCACAACTATTACCACTAATTCAACAACGGTAATGTTGTTGAACAATTGAAATTTGCTTTTTCTTTTTTTTTGACTGCTCATCCATATCGTCGAACAACTGGAATTCTAAACTTTACTGTTTCTTAGTTTTTAAAAAACCTCAAAAAAAAAAGCCTTCTCCTCTTCAACTTTTTCTTTTTACTGTGGTCGTTGCCGTCGTTGTCATACTTGGTGGATTCGAAGTTTAAACAACTGTTTGATCAATTCATTTGTATTTCTGGGAATAGAGATGGTGAAATGGAAAAGACGACGAACGTATTTAAATTTGTGAAAAGAAAGCGGGAAAGAGGGAAGAAGAAAAAGTGAGAATTGAAGAAAAAATTTTTCCTCTTTGTGATGTCAAGTTTTTCTATTTTCTCTTATTTTTTTCCCCTTTACTTTCACTTCAAACGTTTCTTAATCAGTTTTGATTTTATTCTTTATTTTAATTTCAAATTTTTATCTTGTTATCATTCCATTTAGTTGACCCTGAGGTACGTTTATCTATATATATCTTCCTCTCAGTTCAGATATATAAATATAAGTATTAATTTGTTTATTATGTATAGTATATGAAATTGTTTGTTTTGATGTATGAAATGTTGTTTGGCTGTTATTTGCCGCATGTAAAATAGCAGTTATTCAGTTGAACCAAACATTTTCTTTATCCACCGAATCCATCTGTCTTTTGTGGCTATTTCCCGCTCAGAGGGAGTTGAGCTGTCGTTGTGAATAAATCTCGAATGATCATGAATGACGTGGAAGAGTAAGGAAGGAGGAGAAGGGGAAAGGAAGAGAGAGGGAAAGCAGGAAGGAAGGAGAAGGAGGAGGTGATAACACTGCAGAACGCATAACACAGAGCAGCGACCACAAATAGGAACGCCTTGCTCAGTTTCCACTCAGCAAGCTTTTTGAACGTTTAGTGGTTCTTCTCATTTTCAAAAAAAAATTTTTTTTTTACCAGCTTCGTTTCGCCAATTTTAGTCAAGTTTTTTGATTCTTTTTTAAACCAGAAAACTTCTGTTTTTTTTTTTT